TTTCATTCCACTAATTTATTCTTGTTTTTCTCGTTGCCATGTTCCCACCAATAACGTAGCTCCATTTTCTGCCTTTAAAAGCACACATAACCCACAATTCCTCTATTCGCTCCGACGAAGGGCTAACGCTCGAAACGTCAGCTTTTGTAATCGTTACGGTGGCCAATTTACCATTTCAACTTTGTTGATATATCCAAATTATACAGATTTATACGCTGATGATACATCCCTCTACACCCACTGTGCAGTAAGGGAATTGGAATCAGTGACTTGCGATTTAAACGAATCCCTTACTAAACTTGGATCATGGTCTAAGGACTCTAACCTTGCCTTGAATCCTAATAAGACCCTAGTCATGGTTCTCTCCACCCAGCAAATGTCATCCCACCTCATAATTAAATGATACCCTCTGGGAAATTTCTTGTAAATTTCAAGTCATTTTAAGTTAACAAAATAAAGATGTGATTTACGGTGTTTTGATGATACCGACCAAAAAGCGGGAGTTAGATGTAAATTTCACATTAGCACGGGTTATGAAATCAGTTTCCCCAAAATGTTATCACTGATTTTGGAAGTCCAGTGATGGCTTTCGCTGCCCATGTAAGAATAATGATCAGAAGTGGTTGGTCATTTGAGCGAGTTGAATCTACAAAGTTGCACGGGGTTAACATCCGCTGTAACCTCAAATGAGACGACCATATCAAACATTTAGCTGTTCCATGTTATGTTGCCTTAGCCACGCTTAAATCAAGAGCTTCAATAATTACAAGTGAAGAAAGCATCTTGTCGAATCGTTAGTTCTATCACGATTACACTTTAGTGACATTGTATTTTACCCGCTCATCAGTGAAAATCTGCTTAAAAAGATAGATAGCTAGTTTATTACTATTAGAATAAAAATACTTTGCAGCCATATGCTAATTATAAATTGCGTACTTTTCAGAAATGATTTATAAATCTATATTTGAGACTATATAAAACTACAAAATTTACAAAAAAATTCTAAG